ATCATTATAGAGATTCATAATATCCCTACCTATTGTAATGCGCGACGGAAGTTCAAATTTAGGACATGCAACACTACAAAATGATTTGAACCCTTCTTGTTCAACAAATCTAAAAGGCAACTCGTCAATCACAATCATTTTTGCACAAGCTTCTCGACATGCTTTTTGACTAAACCCCACTGATACAAGACTACCACTTTCGTTCACGTTGTTCTTTTGAAACGACAAGAATCTTTGCTTCTTATCCTATAATCTAAACGGATACTTTTTACATTGATGGTTAAGATGGTTCCAAAGGGTGCTAGTTCCATTTTTTTTCTTATCACTTGCGTAATCTTTACTGCAATAATTACACACAGCCCTTGGGTCATTTTGGTTACTCTCATTTCTCGTAAAATGATCTCACACTTCAGAACATTGTCTACTTTTTTTTCTCTCTTTGGTGTTGGGTGGCAAAGGAGGTTTAGAAGCACCAGTTGAGTCTATACTTTGAGTTTTAGAGGGCATTTCCATCTAAAAGACATAAATACACAGAAACAAAAAAAGTAGAAAATAAACATAAGTTACAATGAAGAATCACAATCATAAAGACATAAAGGATAAATCCAAGCTCATTCACATGTAAAAACTGAGGCCACATGCAGCTTTTAAGATACCCACGAACACGAACAATCRATATTCAATAACATATGCATAGAAAAGTTATGGAAAATCTACAAGTTCTTATACACATAGTACAACTTCTTATGCACATCGTACAACTTCTTATGAACATAATAATATTGTCTCAAGATGGATGAATCATGTGATTTCAATGGTTTAAATCTTGGCTATATATAGAAAAACATTTTGTGAAATGTGTGTCTTTTAGTAAATTATATAGGATTGGGTTCATGTGAGGTCAGTCTGTTTTTATGAGACCTGTAAAACCATTTTTTTATACTTAAAACTTTACAACAAAATATTATGAAGGTTAAGAAAAATTCGAACATTCATAGCAAAAACACTATGAATGTTACCTTCACAACGTTTTGCTGTGAAGTTTCAGGTGTAAAAAAGTGGTCTCATAGATCTCACAAAAACAGACTGGTTTCATGTAATCCCAAGTGTGTGTGTGTGTGTAGGGGTCTATGTAAAGGGATAACTAATTAGTTTGTGATAACTATGAGATCCAATCTCAACTACAAATCAATGGATAAATTAGAAAACTAATATTTTTGGTAATTTGATTTAAAATTATAATCAAAGGGTATTTTAGGTATTTTAAAATATTTATCTCTTTATCTCTCTCTCCTACCTACGGCCTCCGAGAAACACCATGTGATACACAAAATACAACAAGATACACAATGTGATACTCAAAACACACCAAGTAAACTTTGAGACCACTATGATACCAACTGTGGCAGGAATGGAGGAAGGGAGATAGGCACTGAGGGGGTCAGAGACAAAGATGGGGCTAGCTGTCGAGAATGTTCACAAGTGGGTGTTTTAGTGGTCGATCATCGGAGACGGCGTCTTGATCAGACAAGATGACCGGAGGAGGTAACTGGAGTGGTGGTGGGTGTCGGAGAAGGCCACCAGATTTGGTCCATGTGAGTCCGCACGTGTGTGTGTGTGTGTGTGTGTGTATATATATATATATATATTAAAATAATGGGAAAATTGCACCAAAATGGAATCAAAATCGTCATTTTGGGAAACCAACTTTCGCCTGATTTCTATTTTGGGGAACCAACTTTCATCTGATTCCTATTTTGGGGAACCAACTTTCAAAATCGTCATTTTGGGGAACAAACTTGCACCTGATTCCTATTTTGGGGAACCAACTTTCAAAATAATTATAAAAAAATAACTAAAATTTATTTATTTTTTCAAAAATTAATGCAATAAAATATATATTTCATTTCAAATATCGTTTTTTTTTTAATTCAGATATCAAATTGAAGAATTTTTCGAAAAAAATTCAAATTACCACGATAAAAGTTGGTTTTTTTGTTAATGCAATAAAAAAAATCAATTTAATAGAAAAAAATTAATTGATGCAATAAAAAATAAATATTAAATATCACATTCAAAATTTTTATATCTAACAAATCTGTGTTAATATTAAAGTTTAAATCAAATTTGGCAAATCCAACCAAAACTTTGATAGAGACCCTTAAACTACCTGTTACATGTTCAACAGATCAACCAGACCCTTAAATAAACAAAAGTTTGATAGAGACCCTTAAATAACGATTTTAAAAGTTGGTTCCCCAAAATAGGAATCAGGTGAAAGTTAGTTCCATTTTGGTGTAATTTTCCCATTTTTCTGTAATTATTTTGCAAGTTGGTTCCCCAAAATAAAAATCAAGTGCAAGTTGGTTCCCTAAAATGACGATTTTGAAAGTTGATTCCCCAAAATAGAAATCAGATGAAAGTTGGTTCCCCAAAATAACGATTTTGAAAGTTGGTTCCCCAAAATAGGAATAAGGTGAAAATTGGTTTCATTTTGATGCAATTTTTCCTAAAATAATTAAAGTAAATTGGAATATTAAACTAATTAAAGTAAATTGAATAATCAACACAATTTACTAATTTACTCTTTGTAAATAGGTCTACAGAAAAACCAGAACGATGATAGGTCGATTATTCGGTTCCACTCAAAAGGTAAAAAAATGAAGCCGAAAACCGAAACCAAATATCGATGCTAAATAACGAGCATAGGATAAGCATTTACGAGTTGCTCGTAATATTGCTTCACATTCGTATTCACACGAAAATTTCACAAAAATTGTGGAACCGATCGATCCACAAAAGCATACAAACAACCAACAATCAGTCATCAAACATCGACACAAAAACGACATCTATCGACACAATCGAGTCACCTTGCGGAAATAGTTAACAGTAAGCCGAAGTGATCACTCGGCAAAACGGGAAGCTCCAACTCTTTTCCGCCTTTTTTCTGCTTCAAATATGTCACGCCCGGTATCGGTTCGGTCCCGACCATCTTAATCTGCTCGATCTTGAAATCACGCAAACCGACCAAGAATCGGTCGAGCCGCTTTTGCAGCTTCCGGTTAGCCGACAACATCAAATTCGACTTTGTATCGTAAGTCCATCCAGTTTCTTTCGACTTCAGTTCCTTCCAGGCGTCAATCCACCCATCCGGCAACGGAAACTCGCCATCCAACTTGTCATCCCAATTCATATCGCCACAAAAGATCGCATTCGGGTGTTTCTCGAGAAAGTCAACGGCTTCGTTCGCTTGTTTGACCCGTTCTTTACTGTACATTTGGTCCCACTTCGGTGGGCCCGGGCACGGGCTCTCGAGATGGCTGGTGGCCACCACCAACGGAGTATCTCCGGGGACCGAAACTTCCGCAATGCATAACTCTCTTCCCATTGCGGAATAGCTAAACTGCTTGCAGCTATACGATTTCACCGGCAATTTGCTAAGCTGCAATATTTAATTCGAAAATAAGTGTCCAGTTTCCAAATCTACCCTTGATGATGAGATGGTAAACTTCATTACCTCTTTATAATCAAGGGTAAAATTGTCATTTAATTAATTAAGAAGTGTAATAATTACATATTTCTAAAACGAGCGTATTAATGAACGGCGATCTTGTGAATGAAGCTAACCTGCATGCAAAAATACGGCCGTGTGATCGCCTTATCGAAAGAAAGCGAGCATTTATACGATTTCCACCATTCCGCTCTTTGAAGAATTGCATAGATATCGGGAGTGACCTCCTACAAAACGAGGATCAAATTAACATAAATGAGAAAACTATTGCATTTGCGTACACCCTACCCCCAGACCTTATCTCTATGTAAGGGGCTGTTTGATTGGTTTTCAATTAAGTCCTGTATAAAAAATCAAGTTGTCTGTGTAGATTATTTGTCTATATAGATTGGGAAGATTTTTATTTGGGAGAGTTTTTCCTAGATGAAAGAAGCGTGTTTTATAATTAGAAAAGACAGGTTTGAAAAAAACTTGACTTTCTGCATAAAGCTCCCTCAAAGAAGTTTATTGAATAACCTACTTTCTATATCATTAAGCCACTACCAAACAGTCATGTATAGTTGACCCGAATAAGCTGAGAGTCTCAATAAGATGCTAACAAACAAGCCCTACCGAGTTTGTTTGGTTTGGTATTTCTATAATGACTAAAATACCCTTTCGTGCTGTGGACCTAACATGAAGTGCTGTATAGTGATGACAATGCGAAAATGGGTCATTTTCACTTGAAATATTTGGAGAGAAGACGCTTCGTTCTTCATCAGAAATTCGAGAAACAAAATTGTTGTAATTTTGATGGGATGAGGATATTCGTTCATATCGTTTATTTACCGAGACGATACCTGCAAACATATGACGTTCGGAGAATGTAACTGAATAATGTCGCCAATGGCTCTCATTCTTATACGAAGCTCGATATCTTCTGCAAACCAAACATTATAACTCAAAATTTTCAGCGTCATTAAATCCTCTTTCGGTCGGGTTTCATCTGCAATTCATTGAACGACGTTATTGGATGAGAACGACATCTTGTGATCATCAAAACGACAAATTTACATGAAAATTTGAATTCAAGAATCGACATAGATCACAATAACGAGGTTTCAAAATTTCATACTCACCGGAGGCAACCGATGATTTATCAACGGATTTAACATCACGAGACCCTCCCAAATCAATAAAACGATCGGGAATTGTAACTGTATTACACAAATCACAACCCAAGATCAAAGTCCATAATTTCAATTCGTGAATAAAGACAATATTGAATGATTATGATAGGAAGGTTGAAATGAGAACCATAAATATTTTGAGAAACTAAAAACCAACTATTTTATGTATTATTCATAATGAATAAACCTTAAATACTAATGAATATCATGCGTTTTAATCATGAACATCATGTATATTCATTATTAATAATTTCCATCATAAATATCTGTCACAATATTTATCATGAATAAAGCATGAATCGTTGGTTCCCAGGTTCTCAAAATATTTACAGTTCTCATATAAACCTGCCCCTGATACCATACCAAGTTGCATAAGGGTTACTTGCATAATCTCAGCTATTTCGGTCAAAAAGTTGAAAAGGTGGCTATAAAATGAAGAGCTAGGTCGTATTGGCTATTTTTTACAATTTCCGGCCGTATACCACTTTCATTTGTTCTCCAATCCTTCATATTGTGTATCCAATCTTTAGAGACCTCTTTGTTAGCAACTTAATAAGCTTAACAGAACTCGGAGCTTATTCAGTCAGCTATACATAATTATTTGGTAGTTGCTTAATGATATAGAAAGTGGCTTATTCAGTAAGCTTTTAGAGAGAGTTTTATGCAGAAAAACCAAGTTTTTTTCCGAACCTATCCCTCCCAAATCCCAAACAAAAAACACTCCATAAACTTCCCAAACAAAAAAAAAGGATCTTTCAATCCATACAGACAGATTAATACACACAGACAGATTATCAACCAAACAACCCCTTACTCCAACTTAATCCACAAAGCTACAAATTTGCAGAAATGAAAGCCAACAGAATCAAGAAATTCAAGACTATAACCAATAGAAATCACAAACAACAATGGTTAAAACTCACCTGAATCGACCCTTTTTCTATCAACAGATTTAAACCCACGAGAAACCCCCAAATCAACACAATCATCATCATCATCATCAACTTCAACTGGTTCATCACCTATCTTCCTCTTACCATTACTACCTCTCTGTAACAAAGGCAAGAAAACATTCCCAACAATGGAAGAAGAACCCATCTCCAATTCTTCATCTTCCAGCCTCAAATTCGACGAAAACGATGAGTTTCTAGTCCCACAGATTTCACAGCTGGATAATTTATATGGGTTCAAAAAGGTGCAAGCTTTACAAGACCATTTTTCTTCGTTTGATGAAGATGGTGATAGTGGAGATGAAAATGGTGGTGGGGATTGTGATGATGAGCAAATCTGGCATTTGGGGTTTAGGGGATTTGTGTTGATGAATGTGCATCTGGAGCAGGTCCAGGAAGAAGCCATGGATTTGGGTGAAATTGAAGATGAAATTAGGGTTCTTTTAGGGTTCTTGATAAGAAAAGGAAACGAAAGGGTTTTGGAAGTTTTGGTTGAGAAGATTGAGATCGAGAATGACATTTGCCCGCGTATCGCCTACGATTCGACTCTTTATCTTTTGGGCAAGGATCAAGAATTCAAGATCATTTTTCGAATTCAAACTACCAAAAATAGCAAAATAAAAAAGGAAAATTAATTAAAATGGTCCTTAAATTTATCTTTTAATCATTTCTTTTTTAATATTTTAAAAATATCACTGTCGTAGGTGACAACTCTTCAACTTGCAAAGGGGTCAAAGTGTAAAAAAAAAGTTTTTGAACTCCAAATCTGTATATTCAATTTATAGATTTGGTCTCTGCACTTGCTGACCTAGTTAAAAAATTCTTTTTTTTTTTACACTTTGACCTCTTTGTAAGTTGAGAAGTCGTCACTTGCAGAGGTAATAACATTTTTAAAATGTTGTGAGAGAAATGGCTAAAAGATGAAAGCAAAGTCTAAAATTTGTTATTCTTGTTAATTTCCCTAAAAACAAATCTTTGAGAACAAATATATAGTCTTAGGAATATACATTTTTAGGAGCAGTTTCAATTACGAATCTGATTTCTTTTTTGAACCGGTGGACAAACGAGATCGTGTCACATTTCCAGCTACATTCACGAGATATTCATCATGGATGTTGTGAAAAAATTCACTTGTATTATTAAATAATGAATGGACACGAATTGTGCTCTCGTTTGCCCCCTCCCCTCCCCTCCTCAAAAACCAAAAAAGTATTTGCATCTGAACGTTTCTCTATATTATTATACCTACATCTTGAATTCGTTAACGTACACTATCGATATCTTGAATATCTGGCCTTGATTTTCTTTTTCTTTTTTTTTAACCGCTCGTTTGTATCAATATATTCGAAGAGGTTAAGAGCAGATATGAAGAGGGTTAGACACAGTATACATGTTACTCCAAATTCTATTTTCAAGTAAGATACACAAAATACATATATATATATATATATATATATATATATATATATGGAAGGGTTCAAACGAGAACCCCTGTGATTTACGAAAACGCAAGAACAACTCAATAACCACATATTGTGATAAAAAATAAAATTAAAAGATTTTTAAAATTAAAATTAAAATTTAAAAAGATTCAAAAAAATTTAAAATTAAAAGGATAATAATGGAAATGATATATTATATAGAAAACAGTTAGAATCTTTTAAACTTATCATTAAATAATTTTATTTATTTTAATTAACTATGTTTATCTTCACGTTTCCACGTCTTCTTCTCCTTCATTCATGCTTCTCCTTCATTCAAGCGTATTTTCTTTCTMGTTCAACATAATCTTCATGTGATAGTGATATCACATGATTATCACACCCATATCACTCCAAATCGGTAGTCGATTTTTTAAGTTAACCCTAGCCGAACGAAATCCTTGTGATAATTGTGTGATAATCACATGATTATCACACCCAAATCACACCAAATCGTGTTGATATAAGCGATAATGTGATAATTGTGTGATAATCACATGATTATCACACCCAAATCACACCAAATCGTTTTGGTTAGTAAGTTAAATTTTTTGTGTAATCATGTGATAATTATCATTATACATCACTTGGTTTATCGTTTTGGTTGATAAGTTAAAATTTTGGTGTAATCATGTGATATGAGTG